TCCTTAGGTGTAACCATGACATGTTATGGAAAATCCTTTCCTTAGGATTTTTCCTCCTGAGAAGCTGAGAGGCCTCAGGAACAAAATGTAAACATTGATTATCTGCTGCTGTGGAATGCAACAGGTGCATCTGGGATTTGGCTCATGTTGGTTGTTTCTAATTAATGGCCAATCACACTCAGCTGGCTTGGACTGTCTCTTCAAGCCACAAACCTTTGTTATCATTCTTTCCTTTTCTATTCTCAGCTAACCTTCTGATGAAATCCTTTCTTCTATTCTTTTGGTATAGTTTTAATGTAATATATATCATAAAATAATAAATCAAGCCTTCTGACACATGGAGTCAGATCCTCATCTCTTCCCTCATCCTCAGACTCCTGTGAGCACGGTCACAGTGATGTCTTGATGGGTTGAGAGAAGTTCTCAAGGGCCAAGGGTTTGATGGGTTTATAAAAAAAAGTCTAATCCCCAATGTTAATGGTCCAGTCTTTTATTAATGAGGGTGCAGGACAGGATCTAAACCTTCCTGATTTAGGGACAACCACTCATTGATAGGTTTAGGGTAGTTTGTAATCAATCCTTAGGGCCTGGGTGTCCTGCAGCAACTGCTGTGAGAGATGAGAAACCAAGGTCCCCCTGATCTGAACCAGAGCCCTCATCCTCGGACCCCTGTGAACACCATCACACTTCAGGACAGTGGAGGCCAAGGAAGGATCATTCTTGGGAATTATCTTTGATAAAATTGTTCAAAACTTCTGCAGGCAGCTGTGAGAGCTGGGGTGGCTGCAGAAACACTCCAGCATTTCCTACAGGGGGACACTGATCCAGCTCCTGGCTAAACAAACACTTTCTGCTTGTTTTGTTTGACTTGGTGGGTTTGGCAGGATTGGAATTCTGCTGCTTTTGGAGCTAGTGCTGACAGCTCAGAACTTGTAACTTGTTAAACTGGAAGGGTGTTTGCTTGTCCTCTAAAGTGTTTGAGATGCTGGTGGACTAAATGAGGTTCTTGTGTTCCCTTTTAGCATTTTCTCTGCTAAATTATGTTAAAATGTTTCAAGTGTGTCCTGTTTTGGACCACAGAGGATGTTCATAATTGTGCAAAAGAGATTGAAATTATTTTAGTGATGTAAAAGTGTCGGATTTTATTGGAGGTACATCACTTGTGGAGCACAGTGACTTCAATTCTTTTTGTCTTCCTGTTAAGAAGTAACAATTGCACACAAATACTGCTTCAAACTTCTGAAAATGCAACATTGCTGAGCCTTGTGAAGGACCTCAAACCAAAAGGGGCATTGTTTAGAGGGTGGATGATAAAATTTCTAAACCTCCTTTTGATAAAAGAAAATCACTGCAGTGTTCAATTGTAGATGTTGGGAAAGGAGATGAATCACTTCATTTTCCGTTTCTTGAATCACTTTTTAACATTTTAAAGAACATTCAGAGTGGTACACGCAGATAGGGAGGGAAACAGAGTTACAAAGATACCTTAAAGGTTTGTTCCTTGTAATTAGCTGAGATTGCTTTTGATTTTTAATAGCAGCGAAACTGGGGTGTGGTGAGAGTGGGTTTGGCCCCTGAGTGTGTCACAGAGCTCTGAGTCACCTCGGGTGACAGTGACCTGGATCTCAGCACGGAGCTGCTGCTCCTCAGGGATGGAGCCACCAGGCAGAGGCAGGACAAGCAGCAGAAATCAGGCTCTGCTTTTATCCTGCTCTGCAAGCAGCTCTGTACACCCTGCAGGTCATTTTGTTTACATTCTGTACCAAAAAATAATAATACAAATGATAACACTTCTTCTAAATTAGGTTTTTTGTAAAATGCAGGTTGCATTAAATACTTCTGAGTTTTTTTGGTTTTTTTTTTTTTTTCTTATCTTGCTATTAGGACTTTCTTCTTGCTATTTGTTTGCCATATTTTTTTAGGCTTTGAAGTTTTCATCAATCAGGCAATTCACACCTGAGTCTGGTGAGAAAATGAACACTCTCTACTCAGGTTTCATCCTTCCTCCACTTGCTGGCAGAAGTTCCTGGTTCATTGTGAGTTTTACAATGTTAACAAAATTAGGAGACAATTTAGACTTTTCAGCAGGGAAATGAGATGGGAATGGGAATATACAAAGTAAATCTATAAAGTATAAATATTTTGCTTTTCATTTGATGCAGAACACTTGCTCCCACTCCAAACCTTATAAGGCTGGGAAAAGTGTTCTGTGCTAAAGCCCAGGCTGCTGAGCTGGCTCCAAGTGTGTGGAATAAGATGTGAGATTAGACCTGAACTCCATGGGCTGAAATTTAATACTTGATGTCCTCAAAGCTGCTACAAGGCCAACAAGACACTTAATGAACTCCTGCATGTGGAAAAAGCTTTCCCTGTGCTCTGACCTTGCAGCTCTGCACAGATCAGTCCAGGACTCTGACTCTGGGAAGGGCTGGGACTCATTATCCCTCCTCTGGCAACATTTGATTATTGTCCTGCAGGGTCAGGGTCTGTAAAAGCCATTTCTGATATTTTAAGTTCTGTAAAATGCCATTTCTGATATTTCAAGTTCTGTAAAATGCCATTTCTGATATTTTTAAGTCCTGTAAAATGCCATTTCTGATATTTCAAGTCCTGTAAAATGCCATTTCTGATCTTTTAAGCTGCTCTCAGACAGATCTCAGGATGTGAGAGCACTCAGGTAGGGCTGGATTCAGCATCCTGCCCTTGGTTGGAGTTGGGCTGATGCTGAACCTTTGCCTTGCTTTGGGTTGTGCAAGAAAACCTGAATGTGTTCAAATCATTTTAATGTCACCTTGACATGAATTCTTAACAATAAACTGAACTTGGGCATGTCAGGCTGAAGCATCTATAAATGTAATAATATAGAAAAATAAATATAAGCTATTAAATGTAGAAAGTAGTAGTTTTATATAGAACTATGTCGTTTTAGTAGTATATACTACTAAAGTATATATACTAAAGTAGTTTTATATACTACTATGATAATTTCTTTAATGTATTTGTGTGGCTCTTTAATTCAGCCTTTGGAATTTGGACACCACAAGACAATTGTTACATGTGCTGTGACCATCAGGAAGGCTAAAAAAATTAACATTTCTCACTTAAAATCCAGATAACCTTTGAGGTGTGGGAGGAAATCTCACCATAACTGAGATTTTTTGTAATTCTTTGTAACTTCCACAGCCCCAGAGCTGCTCTGGGGTGAGAGCAGAGATCCAGGCAGTTCTGCTCTGCTTTTCCTGGCACCTCTGGGATGCTGAGGCTCTGTCCCCAGTGCTGGAAAAGCATTGTCTGTGCTGCCTTGAAGCTTAATATTGGCACAAAAGTTCCACTTTTAAAGATTTGAGACCAAATTAGCTGAAAATGTTTAATTTTTAACTGTTTGTACAGTAAATCTGCTTTCTAAGAACTGGGACCTGCTGGGTTTCTTGGGGAGAAGAGCACAAGAGTATTAATAGCAAATTCAAACTTAGGCTGCAATTAAAATAATGAGTTTTGCACAGATGGCTGTGAGACTAGAAAGTCTTAAATTGTCCTCATTGTGGTGGCTCTTTCTGTGGGAAAACTGTTTTGATGTGGGGTGAGTGACACCAGCACCATTCCTGCCATGAGCAGGGACACACCTGAGCTGTGTTAGCAGGGCCATTGCCTCTAGGACAGGAAACTTCCTGAAAACTGAACCTAGGACAGGAAATTCCTAAAATTGCACTTCCTTGGAGTTCCTGCTGCAGCAGGATGAGGACTGGCACTTTTTTACCTTGCTAATGTGAAGCAAACCTTTCATTTGTTTGCTTGGCTTGATGCTCCAAAAATCTGCTGGCAGATATCCCAGTGTGCTCTTGTGAGTTAAATTACCTCAGAGTAACAAAATAACTTCATATTTTCAAGTGACACTAATAAATAGGGTTCTCACTTTGCTTTTTACAAATAATGGCATGATCTGCCTTAGGGCATGGAATTAATGGTTTCTGGCACAAACACAATTGCTAATTTAATCTTTCCTCCTCCTTTTGTAGGGCTTGTGCTGCTTTCTGCCTCATCACTGCAAAGTCGAAAGTCACTTTGTAGGGATTTCAGGTGTTGGTTCGAAGTGTCACACTGTGCAAGAGCTCCCACAAACAAGGGCTGGGGATCTTGTGATGGTGCCATGCTCAGCTCGTGTGCTTGACAGATTTGGGTTCCTCCTGAGGTGCAGATTTATGTCCTGATTCTTCTCCTGCTCTGATGCAGACAAAGGGAGTGGAACAAATCCTTGCCTCAGCTTTGTAGTGACCTTGTGTCCAATTGACTGTGGTGCAGTGTCACAGACATCTTCTATGAAAAATCCTTTCCTTAGGATTTTTCCTCCTGAGAAGCTGAGAGGCCTCGGGAACAAAATATAAATAATGATTATCTGCTGCTGTGGAATGCAAAGGTGCATCTGTGATTGGTCTTTGTGGTTGTTTCTAATTAATGGCCAATCACAGTCAGCTGGCTCAGACTCTTTGTCCAAGCCATAAACCTTTGTTATTCATTCCTTTCTATTCTTAGCCAGCCTTCTGAGAGGAAACCTTCTCTTCTGTTCTTTTAGTATAGTTTTAATGTAATATATATCATAAAATAATAAATCAGCCTTGTGAAACATGGAGTCAGATCCTCATCTCTTCCCTCATCCTCAGACCCCTGTGAACGCTGTCACAGTGCAGAGAGCTGCTAAAGCTGTCACTGGGGGAAGGAAATGTTTATGTGACAAAGCAGCTCCAAACTCCTTGGGAAGCAGAGCTGGTGTTCAGTGAATTTCCCTCAGCAGTTCCTGGTGTGTCAAACAGCTTCAATCAGCAAGGTGTGGTCTAAAGCTGTGCCCAGTGCTCCCCCTGTTACTGCTTGGTTTTCCAGAAGAACACCACATAAATCATGTCAGAATTTGTGTTCTTTTCTTTCCCCAGGAGCCCTGAAGTGGAAATGCTGCAGGAAAGCAGGAGGTGGGCAAATCAGAGTTAATTAGTTTCCCTGTTTTACAGATGGGGTCGAGGATTCGGTCTCTTGGGTTCCATCTTTGGGAAGGACAGTGCAATAAATCAGTCCAACAGTGTTTTTGGCCTGGTGTTTTATATACTACAAATGCTACTTGGTAAGTATTCATTCACTTCAGAGCCTCCAAGCAGGGCTGTGGGGATGGAGGAGGAGAGCAATATCCATTGCACAATCTGCAGGAAACCAGATAAATGCTTCTGATTTTATATCTTGGGGGTTTTTTTAGCAGCACTCTGATGATACATCTGTCCAAAGGGCTTAAAACCCAACTGATAACAAGAGTAATTGCATTTTCTCCTGATATGCTATTAATAATCCAAGTGTGAAGACAGTTTCTGTGCTGGTATTTTCGCTCCAGTAAATTTGGCATTGGATTGCATGGTGGGAAAGAGAGGGAATAAAAATGGAATGGGCAAGTTTTGGAGGAGTAATGGAGAGAGCAGGCAAAAAAGTGCATGAAATATAATTTTATATATTTCTTAGTAACTCTGTGCTTTGCTACAAAGCTGTTAATCCTGACAGAAATAACCTGACCACGTATTTTCCTGTAACTCAGGAATATGAGGATGGTTAATCCTACACACACTCCTTATCACAGGGCTGTCAGACAGAACCTTAGATACTCCTCTCCAAATACCCAATGAATACCCAAATGAATGATGTTGAATTGGTCCCTCAAGGCTTGACTCTGTTCTCTCCCAAGCCCTGAGGCAGTAGCAGCGTTTAATGTGTTGTATAGATTTTATTTCAGTGGCATTTTAACTAGAATTTTGTGTAACTCTTGCTGTGTAGCTGAGTTTGAATTCAGTTTTGCTCCTCTCCAAATACCAGGTGGCATTTTAACCAGAATTTTGTGTAACTGTTGCTGAGTGGCTCAGTTTGAATTCAGTTTTGCTCCTCTCCAAATACCCAGGTGTTATTTTAACCAAAATTTTGTGTAACTCTTGCTGAGTGGCTGAGTTTGAATTGAGTTTTGCTCTGTGTGGAGAGGGATGAGTAACTCTGTCTCTCTTGTTGCAGGTATGACAGCAAGTGCAGTAGCAGCTCTGATCCTCATGACATCCTCCATAGTGTCTGTAGTAGGGTCCCTGTACTTGGCATACATTCTGTACTTCGTGCTGAAGGAATTTTGCATTGTCTGCGTGCTCACATATTTGCTGAACTTCATTCTCTTTATCATCAACTACAAACGACTAGTTTATTTGAACGAGGCCTGGAAGAGGCAACTCCAACCCAAACAGGAATAACCCCTGCTGGAACTTTTGACTGACAGTCTGAAGACCCAACTTCCATTAAGTTTATTTTGCAGTAATTTTTTTATTCTCCATATCAGACACTTTTTTGCCCCTCTCTTTTCCCCCCCAACAAGAATCATAATGGAAATTTTGAATGATAAATTTCAAGGGGCCCCAGATAATTTCTCTGTGCTAATCTTCAGTTTCAATGTGGTTATGAAAGAAAGCTCTATAACAATCAAAGACAAGCTTTAACTTTACTTTGAAGGAGTTTTAGCCACAGCAAAACCTAGACTCTCTCTCTCTCTTCCCCCTCCACTTGTGAAGTGGGTAACACTTGCTATAAAATATCCTGTATATAAATTCAGGTATAACAAGATGTGATCATGACATGAAATATTCTAGACTAGCATCACCATATTTAATGTTGCCATGTTTACAGTAAGTGTATTTTTTTCTTTTTTTTTTTCTTTTTTTTTTTTTTTTTTTTTTAGCTGATGGACTTAGATTTGACTAGGACTTATACTGTAAATAAAATTAGAACTCTTGGTTTCATCCCTGGAGAACTCACTGTCCCATGGGTTTGGTTAGGAGCTGTCAGAGGGTTCAGCTCAGAGTCGACTGACACGATGGAAGAAGTGACCTCTAAAGAACATGGAGTTGCTGCTCTCACTGTTGTGCTTTCACAAGAATGATGCTTGGGGTTGGTTCCATTTTTTCTTCTTTTTTTTTTTCCTTTTTTTTTTTTTTTTTTTTTGTCTCCAGTAACAAAAATGGAATTAAAGCTGAAACCTGAAGTATGTTGATTAAACGACAACCTCATTAATTTCTGTACAGAACAAAAATAGCTTGATGTGGTCAATGGAAAGCTGATTTGCAGACTGGGGGTTGGATGAAGTGTTCTTTGAAAGGACTCCATTTCCAAGCAGAGCTGTTCCATTTGAAGCTGTGCTCAGCCAGCCAGTGTTACTAATGTTTGATGTTCTGTGAATGCTGCAGTATAGAATTGCAATTTGCAGTGGAAACCACTGAGTGAGCAGGATAACCAAGCAGTGCACTGAAAAAGCAGTTCCTTAATTGATCTTGGTCAGGATCTTTGCTTTGTGCTATATTGGGAAATGAACTTTAGGCCTGACACACACAGAGATCTCTTGGAAGGGCAACCTGTTTAATGGGATAAGTAAGTCAATGTGCTCCTGAAAATGAAATGTGATATAGTGCTATCATTGCTCTTTCTAAGAACTAATTGGGGAAAAAAAAAATATTAAACTGCAGATTTAAACAAAGGAACAAAATTGTACACATTGTTTCTGCACTCAGTATTCTAAGGCTGAATGTTAAAAGTGCCTTCTGTCTTCAAATCTTAAACCAAATACTTTGTGTTGAACTTGGCAGGCAGAAGTGTCCTTGCTTTAAAAATGAACAAACAAAATTCTCAGCAAACTTGCTGGGGATAGAAGAGTATTAAGAGATCTGGGTTTAGTTTTTAGACTGAGAAGTGGTAGCAGTATTGTTTTCAGTTTAATTTAAAAGGTTGATGTGATTTGGAAAAGTGAAATATTTGTGTTTCAGACTGTGTGACACCAAAATGTGTGGGTTCAGCTACTTTCTGTAATTGGTGCTGTGCTGCTTTTTGCCCTTGTCAGTTCGAAATATGAACAAGTCCAACTGCATACCCATTTATTTAAAGAATAATTTAACTCCTTTTAGCATTTTCATCCTCAAACACGAATGTCAGAGAGACACTTCCATTGTAGGTGATTTTAAACACTAAGGATAAACTTGACTGTGAAACAAGCAGTGTTTCCATAGAGCAAAACAAGGTTGGAGATCAAATTCACAAAATTAATATTGAAATTACTACTGAAGTAATTCTGGTTTGCACCAAGGGTGGAGGTGGAAACTGCTTTTCTGTACAGAGTTGTGTGGTGTGAGTAACATCTGTTGCATGTAACACTAAATGACTTGTCCCTCGTCTGACAGTTTTAGCCAACAATCCATTAAATGAGTTTTGTATTGACCAGAGTATAGTTAAAGCTTGTCTTGATGTTTAGTTCTGTCTCTCAAATGCCTTCCACTTCGATATTAAGGGGAATGAATGATGTTGAATTGGTCCCTCAAGGCTTGGCTCTGTTCTCTCCCAAGCCCTGAGGCAGTAGCAGTGTTTAATGTGTTGTATAGATTTTATTTCAGTGCATTCCTGTGATCTACACTAAAGATCTTTTTTTCATCCAAGGAAGAGGTGAACATGTGCTGCCTCAAAGTTGCTCCTGTCTCAGAGCAAGCAGCCGTGGAGACAAGTCTAATCCATGAGTACTTGGTCCAATTCTGGGAAAAAAAGAGGAAAAAAAAGCCTCATCAACTGAAAGTATTGGTGTTGACTTAACTTCACTGTGTCTTGTGCTTGTTTGTGTGGGCATAGTCTGTTGATTCAGTTTGTTTAGTAAAAATGTTTAGGGCCAGATTTTCAGCAGTCCGTGTTAGTGTGCACATAGGGAGCAAATGGAGCTGGAGTTTGGGCTCTGGGAGAATTTGCAGCCACACTTTTTGTGCACAGCTTTGCAAATCTGATCCTTAATTGTGAACTCTCTTGTCTTGTGTGCTTCCCTTGCAGTTCCTTTTTACTGGAAGTGATTTGCTAGAAATGGGCCCTGATTTCTTCTCTTTCTCTCTCGTGCTTCAGAAATGCAGTTGGCCTGAATAAAGGGCAGAATTATCTTAGCAGGAGAAATTTGGACCTTTCTGCTTCCAGTTCTTTTGACTCTTTCCTTGCTGCTCCCAATGATAGAAACAGCATTTTCCTTCCAGTAAAATGGGTTGTGATTGAAATCAGGAGTGCAGCTGTGCCTCCCTGCCTGCCCCAGCCAAAATGTGGTGGCAAATGTGTGCTTGATACTGGTTTTGTCCTTCCAAATCCAAAGGCAAATCCTAAAATTTCTCCAGGGTGCAGGAGTCTGGGTAAAGGCAGGTAAATGATATTTGGGCTGGCAAGGGACAGGGGGTTACAGAGATCCTTGTTGTGGTTTCAGCACTCAGGAGAATGGAAGGGATAAAATTCACAGTATCCAAACAGAGGTTCTGAATCTGGGATATTCCTGCCCCTCTTTGGCTCTCTCAGAATCCCAAAATTCCTTTAGGATCATGGAATATTCTGAGTTGGAAATTTCACAGTGAGGGGCAGATTGGAAAGGCAACAAAACCTCATCCCAACCCTGCTTAGGAATTAACCATTCCTGAAATCCTCTTACTGTAAGGTACTTGCTACTCTTTAAGGCCAGGGAGGAAATGAATATTCCCGGAAATTTCTCCCAGTGAAACATTTGTGAGGCCAATGAAACATTGCTGAGCACCTTTGGATTCTGCAGTGACAGCAGATCTCTGCTGAGGAGGTTTCTGGATGCTGGGTTGGCATTTTTGTGCTGCTGTGGTCTCAGGAGGTTGGTGAGGTGCTTCAGGCAGTTCTGCTCCTCATTTATGTGGGCTGAGATCAGAGCTTGGCTTTAAGTGCTGTTTCAACTGGTCCAGAAAAGATCTGAAGTATTTTGTTACCACAAAACTGTGTTAAGCATGGCCTAAATATTATTAGGTGTTTGTTCTGTATAGTCTGTTCCATCAACTACTTATTCCCAGTGCTTTCAAATCCAACACCCATTTAAAAAGGAGTCATTGGGCAGATGTTCCTTTTCTCAATATAGGCTGAGAGATTCTCTGCTGGAGGTTTAGGATTCAATTTTGCTAACAGGTAAAAAAACCATGTAAATATGTACGAATTCTATTTGTTGCACATAACTTTTTTGGTATAAAAAAAAATAGAAAAAAAAACCCAACAAAAATAAATGTAGAAATTACCTGTGGATGTCTTGCTGCAATCATTCTTATGCTGCATTCATGCAGTCCAAACATAAGAGCTTGAATGAACCCAACCAGAGGCCTTTTTGGACTCAGTCTGAGCCTTAGAAACTGTTTTTAATGTCAGTACTGTAATTCTGTTTCTAGAATTGTACCAAGTCGTGTGGTTTTCCCCAAGACCTTGTGTGTGTTTAGCTGTAGAAGGGTTAAAGCACTTGATTCTCCCCAGATCCCAGTTTTCCCAGTAGAATTCCTGCAGCTTTGTGTCTGCCTGAGCATTGTGTGTAAAGGCTGAGCAGCGTTGACTTGAGGCTTTCAATGTTTACAGTTCTTTAAGCAAAAAAAGAAACAAAAAAATGCCCCAACCTTGTGGTTTTTATCACTTTCTGCTTTATTGGGGCTGCTCAAAGCTGGTCCCACAGACCACAAAATCCCTGGAAAAAGTGTTGGGAGTGTCCCTGGAATTGGGGAGGGGTTTGCTGAGAACAAGCAGGAATTAACCCTCAGATGTGTGCTCAGATTTTGGGGGGGCTGAGCTGAGCTCTGCTTTGTAAATGTCAAGTCCTCATCTGTGTTTTGGTCAGGTCTGTTGAAATTGAAGAAAATGAGTTTTTAAAGGATGATGGAGTTGAAATGACTTTCAAACACTGCTAGTTGGCAGTACCATGGTGTGGTTGAACAAATATCTTTTTATTGTGCATAGAGTTTTATATTCTAGGGGTTTAGTTCTAGAGAAAATCTAGCCCTAGCACAGTGTGAGGAATGCTGTAGTGTTGTTTCTTTTCCCTTAAAAACAGAACAAAAATTGTTGTGGAGTCTGCAGTGAACATCTGTATCCTTATTGTGCTGGGGCAGGGTGGAAGTGCTGCTGGTTCCTCGTGTACCCCCTCTGAAGGGAACAGAATTTGGCCAGCACACGAGAGAAAAGCAAAGATTTCCTTTATATGGTCAGATTTGGTCACTTCCCTGAGGCACTGACACAGGCACCAGTTTCACCCAGATCTGTGAATTCCAATAATTAAACTCCAGAACTGGAACTTCCCAAATGCTTTGGGCAGCCTCTGCTGTTGTTGTTCTGCTGCTTTTGGGAAGTTTGCAGATTAAATATTCTGAGTTTTGCTGAGTGCTGCTGTGCAGGCCTAAAGGGGACAGCACTGCAGCAGCACAGGGATTTATTTACACCTGGCCCTGCCCCTGAGGTTTGGAACAGAATTTCCCTCTGGGCTGATCTTCCTGTGGTGTCATTGAATATGAAGGAAGCCCTTCCACATGGAAGTGGCATTGTTGGACACAGTTTGTGTCTGACAGTGGCAGTTTTGGTACTGTACAATAAATAGATTTCAAGTTGAGTTGATGTAGTCCCTCCCTGTGTAACATTCCACCTTGCTGCTGGAACAGGAATTCCAAACTCTCTGCTGGATGTGTTGGGTGGCTCACACCCCTCCTGCTGCTGGGAATGCTCAGGATTTCTCACACATCCATCCTGCCAGGCCAGAGCAGCTGCACAAACTCCGCCCCTCTGCAATCCTGTGGACAGTGTGCTGTGATCTCAGTAGTGTTAACTCATAGGGGAGTTGAACTGGAAAACCTCATTTGCTTTAGAGGGATGTGATGTTCATTTAGAGTAGCTTAGGTTTTGTTTTTAAGTTCAGCATTGAGTTGTATCATGTAATATTTGTAATTTTTTTTGCCATAAACAGATACCTCAGTCAGGATTTCTTAACTTCAGCTCCTTGAAAGTGAATATTTGTTTTCCTGCCTGGAAACAAGAAACCTTCAGACTTGGCTGAGCAGAGGAAACAAAAGTTTCTGATCTGCTTTGCATCACAGTAACTACTTCAGGTGGACTAGAAATCGCACTGGACTTGCAAGACTTGAATCAGGCATAGAACTTATTTAAACAGAGATTTAATACCGAGTTCAGCATCATCCCCAGCCACTAAACCCTTTGTTTTCATTTTAGGAAGAGGGAATGTGATGTCATTGCAGGAGGAAG